CATATCCTTTACCCACTTTTTGATGGTGTTTTTTTTTTTTCTTGTGTTGCCATTGCTTTTGGTGTTTTAGACATGAAGTCCTTGCTCATGCCTATGTCCTGAATGGTATTGCCTAGGTTTTCTTCTAGGGTTTTTATGATTCTAGGTCTTACATTTAAATCTTTAATCCATCTTTAGTTAATTTTTGTATAAGGTATAAGGAAAGGATTCAGTTTCAGCTTTCTGCATATGGCTAGCTAGTTTTCCCAACATCACTTATTAAATAGGAAATGCTTTCCCCATTGCTTGTTTTTGTCAGGTTTGTCATAGAATCACATGGTTGTAGATGTGTGACGTTACTTCTGAGGACGTCATTCTGTTCCATTTGTCTATATCTCTATTTTAGTACAAGTACCATGCTCTTTTGATTACTGTAGCCTTGTAGTATAGGTTGAAGTCAGATAATGTGATGCCTCCAGCTTTTTTTTTTTTTTTTCCTTAGGATTGTCTTGGGTATGCAGGCTCTTTTTTGGTTCCATATGAAATTTAAGGTGTTTTTTTCCCCAATTCTGTGAAGAAAGTCAATGGCAGCTTGATGGAGATGGCACAGAATCTATAAATTACTTTGGGCAGTTTGGCCATTTTCACGATACCAATTCTTCCTAACCATGAGCATGGAATGTTTTTCCATCTGTTTGTATCCTCTCTCATTTCCTTGAACAGTGGTTTGTAGTTCTACTTGAAGAGGTCCTTCACATCCCTTGTTAGTTGTATTCCTACATATCTTACTCTCTTTGTAGCAATGGTGAATGGGAGTTCATGCATGATTTGACTCTTTGTCTGCTATTGGTGTATAGGAATGCTCGTGATTTTTGCACATTGATTTTGTATCCTGAAACTTTGCTGAAGTTGCTTATCACCTTAAGGAGACTTTGGGCTGAGACAATGGGGTCTTCTAAATATACAATCATGTCATCAGATATAGATACAATTTGAATTCCTCTTTTCCTAATTGGGTACCCTTTATTCCTTTTTCTTACTTGATTGTCCTGGTAAGAACTTTTAATACTATGTTCAATAGGAGTGGTGAGAGAGGGCATCCTTGTCTTGTGCTGGCTTTGAAAGGGAATGTTTCCAGTTTTGCCCATTCAGCATGATATTGGCTGTGGGTTTCTCATAAATAGCTCTTATTATTATTATGAGATATGTTCCATCAATACCTACTTTATTGAGAGTTTTTCGCATAAAGGTCTATTGAATTTTGTTAAGGGCCATGTCTGAATCTATTGAGATAATCATGTGGTTTTTGTCTTTGGTTCTGTTTATGTGATAGATTACTTTTATGAATTTGCATACGTTGAACCAGTCTTGCATCTGAGGGATAAAGCCAACTTGATCATGATGGATAAGCTTTTTCATATGCTGGTGGATTTGATTTGCCAGTATTTAATTGAGGATTTTCACATCGATGTTCATCATGGATATTGCCCTGAAATATTCTTTTTCTGTTGTGTGTCTGCCAGGTTTTGGTATCCAGATGATGTTGGTATCACAAAATGAGTTAAGGAGTATTCCTTCTTTTTCTGTTGCTTAGAATAGTTTCAGAAGACACCACATAGCATGTAATTTAGTCACAAAGGCACATGTAGCTGAAGGGGTGGCACAGTTAGATGAAAAGGTGTATTCACTATTAGTGCAGCCATTTGTCCAAGTAAAAATTTATCTGTAGAAGAAATGAGAAGCTATATTTTAATAATCTAAGGTATAGACTCTAGCAGAGTCCATTTTGATGATTATACATCATTTTCCTCCATTATCCATTATTTTACAAATATCTTGTACTCTTCTCCCTTATTTTAGAATTCTGTTAAAATTCCCTCTTGGTGTGTATATATCACTTATGATAGACAATAACTGTGCTTCTCTATCATATTCTCTCCCACCACTGTTCTTTTTCTCTCTCTTAACTGAAGTAAAAATTGAGAAACATATTAATGTCACTAGATGCTGTTACAGAGCTACTGGTCTTCACACAGCACACTTTGGAAGACATGATCAGAGGCTTACTCACAGAAAATGTATTGATGATGACAAAGGCAAGGATAAGCTTCCCTCAATGCCAGCATTTTCCTCTACATTGCTGTAAGTGGGAGTGCTGCTTATTAACTTACTATTTTCTAATGATGGCCACTTCCTGATCATTTAAGAAATCAATATAACAACTCTCAGGATTTGGCTATAAGAGGACTCTGAGTTGGGTTGCATCATTTCTATCATGACAAGTATGTCAAAGAAGAGATACACATCCAGATTTCAGCCAATCACGTTAGCCCTCTACAATCTGAAATCATTAGAAGGATGGGGAAAGCACATCACCATATGTTTTTCAGACACTGAATGTAAACACGTTGAGCAGTGTCAGCTGAGCTAGGCCATTTTTTTTAGCTTCTTCGCACTTAAATTGAAGTTCATGCATTATAAATTGCCTTCAAGGGAGATAAGGATGACCAAAGTCTTCTCTACCTCTCTTTTTATCTCTAATATATAGGCTTTTCTTTTGTTGTTTCTCTTCCTTTACTATCAATAAAATCAAATGTACTTAATGAGACCCATGGAATCACTCTGAGGGATAATGACAACCACATTTGGAGAACATGTAATTTTAGGCCCTTCTGTCTTTCCTTCCATCCTAACCCTCTGGCATCTATCTCCTACCCTCAGCCCTTACAGAATTTGCTATTAGATATTCAGCCATTGTCTTGATATACTTTCATATACTTAAAATGAATTACTGACCTTGAGATAATTTATACATAAAGACTTATATAGGGTGGCAGTGATTGATATCTAACTTTAAACCAAGAAGTGGATTTGAAGGAAAATATAATGTATCATCAATACTTACATATCCCTCAGTAAGATTAAAAATATATGAATTAGCCCAATACAAATTAAATTACAATAATTTTTACTTTTGCATGTTATTTTTTAAAATTGTGACTTGGTTTTATGAGGCTACTCATTTAAATGGTGTCTGATCTTCCTATGAGCAATTTATTATATTGCCCTATAAATACCCACTGAGCAGCTGTTATGTGCCCAACGTTGTTCTAGAAAATCTGCTTGGAACAATGAGAGTAAGTGAATAAATGGGAGCCCAATTTTCTATATACCAAGAAGTTTATATTCTAGAAGTGGGCTATAGCCAATAAGTGAATAAGCAAATGGATGTTTGTGTGTTTGTTTATATAATATGTATGGCGGTGATCAATGAATGCTAAGACGGGCAAAGCAAGGTAGGGGTGAGTGGGTCCTAGTCTAAACAGATTGATCAGTGGACTCTAAATAGATTGATCAGGAAAACCTCTCATAAGTGACATTTGAGCTCTGCAGGAATGAGAAAAGGGATAATTGGATATTTAGAAAAAGCATGTTTCAGGGAGGAGAAACGACAAGTGAAACGGTTCTGAGACAGTAATATGTTTGTCAAGTTCAGAGAACACCTAGGAGCACAGTGAACCCTGAGTAGGGTGAGTGAGCAGGGAGAAAGACAGCATGAGATCTGAGAAATACTAGGGCAGGGCGGGGGCAAATGGTATAGGCAAAATAAGAATGTTTTTCTTTTTCTCCTAAAGAATATGGGAAGCTATTGATGAATTTTGAGTAAAGAGCTAATATGATCTAACTTACTTCTATAGGAATGACTTTGCTACCTAGATAATAGAAACAGAGCAATCATTGCATAGAGACCACTTAGAAGGATATAGTGTACTCATTTAAATAAGAGATAGCAATAACTTTAACTCAGTAATAGCTGTAGATATGTTTAGACATGTTCAGATTCTAGATGTATTTTGCAAGTAGAAGTGAATTTGCCCTTAGAGAGAACATTCAGACCAGATGAGACTACCTAGGGAGTAAGTATGAATAGAAAAGAGAAGGATTCTAATAGCTGAGCCCTAGCGATCACCAGGATTAAGTGATGGGAAAAATGAGAAGGTATCCATAGAGAAGAATGAAGAAATAAAGTTCATTAGAAGACCCATGAAAGAGGAGATCTCAGAAGCAAGTGAAGTGTTTGCAGAAACATGAAATAATCAACTGTTTTAAATGGTGCTAAAGTAAAAAGAACACTAAGTCTTGACCATGGAATGTGAAAATGTTGAGATCTTGCCAAAAGCTGTTTTAGTGGAACAGTGGAAGAACAGCCTGATTGAGCATCTTCAAATGCATATGGAGGAAGAGTCAGTGAAAAGAGTGAGTAGAGTCACTTCAAGAAATGGGATAGTTGCTAGAAGGAGATATGTGGGTAAAGGAGAGCTTTTTAAGGATAAGAAACACGTAAGACTCTGGGATGCTAGTAGGTATTATACCTTAAAGGGGGAAGCTGATGCTGCAGGAAACAGTGAGGACAATTGTAAAGGGGTAGCAGAATGGGTCAGGGGGAGAGTGTGCTTTGAGTAAGAAATGAAGGAAGAACATCTTTTTGACAGTTATTGAAATGTGGAAGCATCTAGCAAAATATTGGATGAAACAAAATAGCTTATATATTTGGGGAGTGCACACACATGATGTGAAAGGTACGGAGGGGAGTAGAAATACAGTTTCGTGTTTCAACGTGAAAAAGTGATGCATATTTCTTAAGATAACAGCATTAAAAGTCATACGTGATTGACCAGATTGTCATCTTAGAGAGCACTTTTTCTTGGAAAGAGACCTTTTATAACTCTCTTCTTGACAAATTCTGAAGTGTTATACTTGTGTTTTAGGGGAAGTCTGATTTATCAAATTGGAGGATAGAGATAAAGAAATAATACTGAGGTGGCATTTAAAAAAATCATAGCACTCCTTGTCAATAACCTGTGTTTTTGTTACTGAAGATTTATTAAGGATTGTGTTTTATGCCTTGAGGTTCCTGGAATATTACCTCAGCACGCATTCTGCCTGCAAAGTCCATATAAGTTTCTGGGTTGATTCTTCCTAATTATAGTAACATTGATTGCTGTCTAAATTTGTTGCAGTGTGCCTGAGTACTATGACTATGGTCATGGAGTAAGTGAGGATGCCTATGACAGCTACGGTAAGACCTTTTCTTTACTAAAACTGTGAAATCAGAACATCCATCAGTCACTGACAGCTCGAAAATTATTTCCATCTTTCTCCCCCTAGTTTTTCCAGAAGTCTAGACTAAATTGATCTATGTAATTCCAGGGTGAGATGTGACTTACACAGCTAGTAGCAGAAAATTAGACAGATCAGTTTTGATCAAAATTGTAAAAGCAATTAATCACAATCATAAATCATTTTCAACAGCAACAGTGATCATTCTGAATAGTGTCTTATATGTTTAACTATGTTCATTGTCTGACTCACTGATTTGGCAACAATACTGTGTCTTTTCTGCTGTCAAAAGATGCCATAGTTATATATATATTTGAAATATTTATAAATTTTAAGGGCAGAAATTGTTATTATAAAGTAACTCTCAAATTATTTTTCTAGCATGCATAGCCAAATAATGCTTGGCTCATAAGAACTGATAGTCAATAAGGATGCCAGTCTATAAATTAATTCATTTAAAAAGACATTCCTTAATGAAAATACCACTTTAAAAATCTCATATTCAGTTAAGATCTATTGAGTTTCTAAAATATATTAATACAGTACATCATTTTTGAGACATAGTTTGTGATTCCTTAAAATACATACATGGCATCACCAGATGACCACTTTGAAAAATGACACTCATTTAAATATTTATAGTCTTGAATTTTTATTAAAATAATACCAAGGCTGCTGGGCATTGGTGCAGGCCTGTAGTCCCAGCTACTCCAGAGGCTGAGGCAGGAGGATTGCTTCAGCCCAGGTTTGAAGCTATAATTGTGCAATGATCATGCCTGTGACTAGCCACTGCACCCCAGCCTAGGCAACAGAGTGAGACTCTGTCTTTAACAAAAATAGATAAATTAAATAATACCAAGTTCACTTTGTTCCTCTCAATGGGGAAGAGTAAAGGAGACTATGGGGCTTCATAGGATGCTGTATCAGGATGGTGAAGGGTACGTGATGTGGAGAGGAAAGGAGGAAGAATATCTTACCCTAAACCAGTCATAAACACAAGGTGAAGCCTGGAAGTAGGAGGAGAAAAATAAGCCACCACCATAATTATTGCCAAGCATAAGCTGATTACAGACATTTTGTATTTATTTCTTTATAACAAATTGAAATATTCAGTATTTTTATCTCCATTTTTATGAGGAAACTGAACAACAAAGTTGAAGTCAATGTGAGAGTTGGCTATGAGGCTCAGCTCTGTTCTTATTTTCTCATCAGTGGTTGGAATATCTATTAATTGATGCTACCACACACGGAGTACTTATTATGGCTCTGTATTAAACATTTATGATGCGGATTAGTAATTGCAGAAGTAATCCTTATAGAAATTATACATCTATCTATTTGTATACTCTAACCCCATTAGAACCCTCTAGAGAAGGATGGGAAACAGATAAGACTTTGGGATGCATACTTAGTTTCTCACTTGAAAAATGCAGATGACAATATAAGACTCAGAGCATTAAGTACCTTGCCTTAGTTCAACGATTTGCCAGTGAAAGAGAAAGAATGTGAATTCAAGTGTGTTTTATTTATTTATTTGGTTGGTTGTTTATTTTGTCAGGAGGCAGGAGTAGGGTTCAGTAAACTTGGTAAAAAGATTAGGATGTGGTGCTTTAAACCTGAGTTTGTTTAGAGGAAAGATGTTCAGCTTCCTTTTTAAAATCCTGAATCTTCCTTCCTAAATTTGGATTTCTTAAAATGCGATCACTTGCTATTTCACTATTTTAAGGGGAAGGAGGTCTTTTATACTATTTTACAGGAAAAAGTACATAATTAATCCAAAATGAGCACTAGGCTTACTGTCTCCCAAATCCAAGGTTCTCTAGCACTAACCAAATTAATTAACCTAATCTTTTGCTGCTACAGGACATAGAACTATTTTCCAAAACAAATTAACATACTTTTCAGAAATTATTTCACAGAAATATAAGTGATGAACAAGTCTGCACATATCTGGCTCAGTTGGTAAGCTGCTTTAGGAAGTATAGCTTTAATTTTGTTCCTTATGTATTTTCCATTCATTGGAAGGAAGAGGTCAGAGGCATCAGATGGTATTTCATAAAAACACTACCCTCTAAAACCCAGGATGTCTCCAAAGCCACACTAGGGGGCCAACCAGGCTGAGATGTGAGACTGCCTAGGGTCTTAGAGCATCTACACCTGTCCCTGCAGCACTCTTTGAGTTCAACGCAGTAAAAACTATATTTCTCTTCTTCCATGCACATTCTTAATCACATAGGAATCAGGCTAGAGCCTTGTACAACTGGTTACTCAGGATGATCCATGAATAAGACACAAACTTGGCCTTTCTTTAATTCACTGAAAATTTGCATTATAGGTATTGATGCACATTTGTACAAGGTGGACATTTGGTGTTGAGGAACTTACACCTACATATAAAAGATTGCACCAGATTTTAAACCATGTTATGTAATAATTTTATACAAGTCCCGAGAACATTACTCATTTAACAAATATTTACTGAATGGCTAACACATGTAAGCCATTGTTCTGTCTTGGAGATGTTGTAGTGAATAATATGAGAAAGCGTATTATTATTTGTAAGTGGTGACTTTTGGAAAAATTGAATTTTTACTTGCAAAATACAGTCATTATTTTTTACATTTGATACATCAGTTTGAGGAAACTCATGCTCATGGGCTTTACAGAATTAACATGTACTGAAATTAATGGAAAGGATAAATTTGATTATATTTGGCAGGATAGTTGGTGATATGAGATGAGATTTCTATTTCTGAATTATTTACATTTTGAAATGTCAATACTGTGTAATGCTATTGAAAAAAGTGTGTAAATACAAACTATTGCTCCTAAAGCCTTTTAATGGAGATGCAGGGGCTGTGGTCAGGAGGGCCAGGACTCACCTCTATAATCCCGTGAGTCTTACATTGTACTTTCTTTGTAGTCTGGTTCTCTAGCTGTAGCAAAGTCTACAGAGAAATGATCCACTTTAGGAGCTCTACCTGCCCATAAGCACTAAGTTTCATTAGTGGCCAAATTCCATTTACCAACAAGAAATTTTCTGCACATAAAAAGTAGTCAATAAATTCTTCATAACAAAGTAATAAGGAAAATATAGAAAGGGATTTGACTAAACAAAATAAGGAAGATATTAATTAGCAATTTTCACTGAATAACTTTTATGTACCTATTTTACTAAGTTTTAATCCTCTTTTTGCATAACCAAAGAATAAAGTACTTGCTGTAAATCCATATCATCATAAGATTTGAATTTTGAGAATCCTCATGATCTCACATCCTATGCAGGCAACAGAGCAAGGACAAAGTCAGAGGACAAAGAATAGTAAGAGCTCAGCACCATAACCTTGCAGCCCAATTAATATGCACTATGTGCACTCAGATTGTGGTTTTAGGTATTACATAGTATATTAGATACTAGGTAGTTGGTGATAAGTTGCTCATAATAAAATATACAAATGGGCAATGACAAAAGGTAAATACATACATTGAGCAGTAATTTGAGGACTCACAAAAGTCAAATATCGATTTTCATTAACTGTCCATACTTCATATGTTAACTATTACCCATTTATAGCTCATCTTTAATCAATGGTATACGATTTTTAAATCAATAATGGTTATTCAAAAATGTAAATCTCATATCTCCAGTTTTTCATTAACTTCCATTCTAAATACTAGCTCCTCTCTGTTACACTGTGGTTGTATCATGGGTACAGGTACAAAATACCAATGTATTTTTATAAAACTAATAGCCTCAATTTTGACTTGGCAATCTCCCCCCGCCCCAAGACTTGGAGAGTTATGTGAGGAGTCTTACAGTCACCTCTCTTAGACACCTTCCTTTCCAGCTCACACTGGCTGGAAGAACTGTGGGGGCAAGTGAGGGACTGGGAAGGAAGAAGGAATGCTCTCCTGAATGACAGAGTCTTGCATTCCAAAGACTCATATATGGAACTTCTCATTTAGAGTTCCTCCAGAAATGATTTAAAATAAGTTAGCAGACATAAAAATTGAGTCCTTCAGTGGGACACTTCATTCCAAATCTTCATATTTTATGATGTTTTGTGTAAAAAACTGAAATTGTATTTGTCTTTTTTTGGTCCTATATTTTACCACTGAAATAATAAATATGTTGACTTTGAGAAAATAATTTATTATTTTAGGTTTTATCACAGTTAAATTATTCAGGATATTTGCAGATAATATTAAATATTAAACTATCTTGCTGATAATGTAAATATAAAATTTAAATATTAAAATTGCAAATGGATTTTATTAAAATATAATTACCTTGATTATAAAAATTGATGTTTAATGCATTGGTATTTATTAAATATTTAATTGATTTTAAATTGGCTATAAATTAATATGTAAATATTACATTTCTTATAACTTGAATTTGTTTTTGGGGCATGAATATTTGACTTACAGGAATTCCAAATCAGTTTCTTCAATTTAAAAATATTTTCTAATTTATCAGAATCACTGTAATTGTTTCAGATGAGTCTGAATAGCTTATAATTCAGTAAGGCTACATTTTAAATACAGTGCCTACATTAGCTTAGCTAAGCAATGCTTCACATAAAAATACCCTCTAAGTTCTCTCTGAGATTGATAGCTAAGAATGGACAGCAATATTCTCTTTTTGAGAATAGAGCTATTTATTAAAATATATTTAATGTATGAGCTGAAGAGCTAATTATGCATCCATTCTTTAGTGGCATTTTAGATGACAGCTGTGTGGAAGCAAAGAGGATAATATTAATACACTATCTTGAAATGAATGAAAGCAAAAAGAAATTTTGTGCCATATTCTAGGGCATTTGAGTGCCTCACTTCAAGTCAATTTCAGAACACAAATGTATTCATTTTGTGTTAAGAAGCTGGAATGACTATTTTCCCAGTGTGAAAATAAGCCCTGCATTGATTAATCTGTGAAATCAGCAAAGGAAAATGAAG